GTGAGAAGGTAGAAGATGGTACCATTCTCGTTTTCTCCACAAAAAAGAGGATGAAATAAAGAAGAGCGATGCACCAGTGTCAAACAATATATAAGCAGGTACAGACTGCAGTAAGAAAGTAACTGTAATAACATCTGGGTTTGCCGCAGCCTCAGTGTGATTCATGACATAGACCTTCCTTGACTCCCTGTGGTTTGATTAATAGCAGCATTCTGACCTGTCGCTCGATCTGCTATAGCTCCATTGTTGGGATTTCCAATAGTGGCATATTGCCGATTTCCTCCAATTCCATTTTTGAAAGTTCTGCTGGTAGCGGGGCTGATTGTCATTGTTCCTACCCCCTTGGTTGTTGTTCCCATTTCGTCCTCCATCTGGTTTTGGTTGTCCTCCTTGAGAGCCTGATTGCTGATTGAATCCCCTGGCAGTACACTGGTGAGCCTTGTGCCCCTTGCCACCACACTGAAAAAAAGTTATAAGTTCTCCATTGCACCTCTTCCCAGGGTGTGCCTGCTTGCCGCATACTTTACAAGAGTATGGTTTTGTTCCAAATTGCTTTCTCTTGTTCCTGTGGTTGTTTGTCACTCCAGTTATTTCCCCTGTTATCATAACGAGGCTTCTTATCAGTTTGTAACCACTGATTGTCTTCTTGTTTCCTCTCTAAAAATGTTCAAAGCTCGTTCATAAGCTTCCTGGAAGGTCTGTGATGGTATACCTCCCAAGGACTTCTGAATTTTGAATGTCAACCCTTTTTCATACTTACGTGCCTTGTCCCTCTCCGTAGGAATAAGATTTGAAGCAAAACGCGAGAGCTCAATGAACTTGTCAGTGTACTCCTGCACTGTCATCTTTCCTGCCATCCTGAACCTTGCAAACTCTTCCTGTTTCTGCCACTTAATTGCGTCGGGGTAGAATCTATTGCGGACTCGTTCCTTGAAAATCTCCCAGTTAAATCCTTCTTCAGCTATGTAGCCCGTCTTCACCGTGGACCACCAACTATCCGCCTCCTCTTTCAGATAAAATGAGCCAATGCTAATCTTCATGTTCTCGGGACAATTTGTCACTTCATACAGCTTTTCCATGTCGCGAATCCAATTTTCAAGAGCAACTGGATCGATAGTCCCTTTGTAAGTGGGTGGATGATGAGATGCCACTCTCTTAAAAATGGTATTCTCGGCATTAGCCTGATGGGCGTTTTGTTGTCCAAGTGCTAATGCAAGATCTTCAATAGCCCTCAGACGTCGGTCCATTTCTTCAGCAACAGCGTTGTTTGCAGCCATTCTAGTGTTACGACGGGTATAGTACCTGATCGTATGTTTTTTTTTTTAAATTCTAAGTGTTTGAATTTATTCTCATAGTCAACTCTAACTATCACTTTCCTCATCTCATATATTTGTATTATGTATCAGATAATGCAATTCAAACAATAAACCAATTTATTTAAATACATAAATAATAAGAATTTCATCATTCATCATTCTTCAAAGAAAGAAAAAAAATCACATCTAGAAGAAACCCTTTTAGCCTGTAGAAAATTCTATTCATTTGCTAAAATAAAATTACAAGTCAATAAATCACATAACAAGTCACAAAATAATTTCAAACATGCAATTATTAGAATTTCAAATAAATCTTATTTAAAGGACAAGAAAATAACCCTTCACTACCCATCTCTCACGTTTAATTTTTTTATTTTATTTTATTTCAATTTATTTTATTATTTATGTTCTTATTTATTTATTTAACTGTGGGATCTTTGATCCCTTGAGTTAGTATCAAAGGTGAACCCAAGTTAAACTCAGGGCTCTGATACCATTTTGTAACACCCCAAATTCTAACAATTGATAATAGCATAAATAATTTCAATAATTTTTGTAAATAACAGCGGAAGTTCAAAATAATCAAATTTGGAAAGTGTTACTGCCGCACTTGTACTATGGACAGGTGCAAGGCTAAATTTATTACATTAAAAATAAAACCAAAGACTAAAGTTTAAATAAAGGAAATATGTCTTATGCATTTATTTAAATCTCATAAAATTTCTAAACTTAGAAACTAGCTAGAAATATAATATCCGAGTCGTGATCCTCGCTGCCCACAGCTAGCCCCATCCTTTGCAACATGCTTCACTGAAAATCTGCTCCCCGTGAAGGATCATTGCAGTTAAACAAACACAAAAGTCAGCAAAGCTGGTAATCCAAATCCGATATACAAAAATAAATAAATAAACAAAAAGGATGTAACTCATGATAATCCAATAAAATAATATAACTCAAAAATTCGAATCAAATGTCAACTTGTTATTAATTATATTAATATTTATTTAATCCATTTAGTCTATTTAGTGGGAAGAGAACCATGGTAGACCCGGGGAACCCTGCCAGTCTACCCTGTGACCCGGGAAACCCTGCCAGTCACAAACAAATCACTTTGGCCATAATCAATTCACATCTTCCTAGTGTGCACACCTCTTCCCAAAGTTGCTACTAGTATCCCGGGAAACCCTGCCAGACACCACTTTGGGAAGAACGGATATAATCTTTTTCACATCAGTTTCACATCGGAGGCATAAAGCCCAAAAATTGTGTTCATCACTTTGGGAGGTACCATCCCAAAGCTATCCTCCCACTATTATTATTATTATTATTTTTTTATATAGACATAACAAAATTTCCCAATTTATTTTAAATATATGTAATATCTATTTTCTGCAGCAAACAATTAATTTCCAATTTACCAAAACACATATATATATATATATATTAGTGCCTCAATTTATAAAGTAAAGCACAGAATATAAAAAAAACAATTGAAACTAAATTCATATAACTAATGTATTTGAAATATGTTCATCACGTAAATCGAAAAGCAGAATTGCAATATATGTAACTTGAAAGAAACGATTCAGATGGTAGATGGTGAACATACATCTAATTCAATTGAAAGTGACGCACAAAAATCGAGAAAGGAGATTTGTTTGTTTGTTTTTGTTTTGTGAACTATATCATGTATAAAAGCAACGATAAGTATAATTCGAATTCAATTAAAGAATTGCACAGAAATCAAAAGAAATTTGCAACGAAGTGTAACTATGATATATGTTTAGGATCATAATTATCCTATCAAAATTCATATAAAATTAACCTAAGACTTCTAAGGATTAGGATTACGCATATCAAATTTCACATAAAATAAATATAATCTAAAAATACCTAGGGATTAGGATTACCTGGTCTCTGTTTTCGCTAACTTTTAGAAGAAAAGAGTAATTTGGGGCAGAGAACCGGTTGATAAAAAAATATAAAGATTGAAAATAATTAAAATAAACTTTTTGGAGTGAGAAGAGAAAGAGAGTAGTAGAGGAGAGTGAATTGGTTTGGTTAGGCTAGGTCTCTATTTATAGTTGAAGTTTAGGGCTTATACATTACTGACTCAATGCTGACTCATCATATCTAAACAATTTATGTTTGTTGAGTCATCATATCTAAACAATTTATGTTTATTGAGTCATCATATCTAAACAATTTATGTTTGTTGAGTCATCCTAATCCAATCAAACATTACCAATCAAATAATCAAACATTAAAGCAAAATGATCAATCAAATAATAACAATTTATCACCCATTATTATTATTACTAATTTATAATTTATTACTTTTATTAATTTATTGTATTATAAATTACTATTATTTTTCTGGGATATTATCCAACAATTAAACTCCATAGACTAGAGGTGGAAATAAAGTTCATTTGTAGAGCTTACCATTGACATTAATCCCAAAATGCAAAAATGTATAAAGAAGCACGTTATGAGAAAATTTGAACCAATTAATTGAAAGATATGGTTGACTACCACTCATAGATGACATATATGATTTTCCACATATACTCGTGAAAAAAATAGTAACTACAATTACATACAATAAATGAAAAACTAGTAACTCCACCCTGACACATATGGGTGAAAAAACAAGAAAAATAACATGATTGAATATCTTTAATGTGATAATAGCAATCAAGTACATAGAAATGCCACCATAAGCAGAAATAAACAAGCCGCAAGCACAATTTGTCACCGAGTACCAGAGAAAAGAGTAATATATCATTAAATCTATCAGACAATTTGTTTTGGACTTGGACACTCGATCCATGTCCGAATTATGAAAATGGATTCCCACCTTCTAGAAGGATCCTCCATTTATTCATAACAATAACTACTTGATCAGGATCCCATAACATAAGAAAGAAGACTTCTAGTCAAACTCAAACCCTCAAGTAACCCCCCGCTATAAATAACAAAGGTCAACCCTCTACAAATAACAAAGTTCTGGAACCCTAACCTATCACTTCCCCTGCGCAGGCACACACACATCACTGGACCTTGGCCTTCAGCCACTGCATTGCTGCATACCTTGGTCTGCTACCTCGGCGATTGCATCATGCAGTTGCTCATCACTCTATTGTCGGGCCATATATCAACAATGATCCATTGGATCGAGGATCGAACAAGTTTCATTACGATCAATTGTATTAATGATAACACGGATGGATTTCTTTAGTACAATGATTGGCAAAATGGTTCACAGAATCTAATTGATGTAACACACACGAGCTCATAATAATCAGTAATATGTATACTGAATCCAATTTCCATTTTCTGATTCTATCAGTATAAATAAAACAGCTGCCCATAATTTAAATAAATACGTAATTGTAGAAGTTGGGAGAAAAAAAAAATGAATGAAAGAAAGAAGCGGCTGATAGAAGAGAGGAACCTGGTGCGAACATGGGAAGGATGTTGATGAGGGAAGAGAAGAGGCATTTCATCATACACCCGATTGGCACCTCCATCAGCGCACACTCGTATCTGCGCTGTATCAGGCAAAAACCACAACGATGCATGAATGAATGAATGCATCTAAATGAAGCGAAAACAAAAGAGGGAGCAGGAAGGGATACCGTGGTCCCAAAGCAGAGGAGCAAATCTGGGAAGGCATTGATTGAGAACAACGAGAGCGTAGCTTACAGAAAGAGAACAAGTGCTGTTGGCAGCGTTTGGTTTCTCCTTCTCCGGCGGAAGAAGGAAGCTCGAACAATGAGACATCAACTCCATCCCTTAATCCTAAAAACTTTACAAGAAGAAGAATGAAAGATTGAAGATGCTTCTAAGCGTTTCCTCACAATCACAAACCCGCTTTTGCGTTGCGTGCGTATTTGTCCTGCTTGCTGTGTCACGTCGCGCCCCTCTTTTTCAATATTATACTATTCTAATCAAATATCATTCGTCATTGAGTTGAATGCGCATGCTGCTATTGCTATTGCTATGTTCTATTAAGGGTGTTTTGGTACTGGAGAAATTTTTTGGTGACCGGGAATCATGATTATTGGGAATTCAGTAGAAATTAAGTTTACTTGGAATCTTACGAAAGATGTGTTTGGTTCGCCAAAATATTACCGGAAATACTGGGTAAAAATTACTGATTCCATATTTGGTTTAGAACGAAATATGACTTGAAATATGAGGTTATTTTACAAAAATAACCCCAAACTATTTTTACTTTTGTAATTGATAGATTGAGTCTAGATTTTTATGTGTATTGGGATATTTTTGTCTCAAAATTTATTGTTGTGCTTTCCCTTTACTTGGTATTCTGATTGGTATTCCGAATTACCATATTATTTTTGGTAATCTGAATAGTGACTTTTCTTTATAAATCAAATTACCGGTAATCCTTGGATATCCGGGAATCGTAATTTATTCCTTCTACCAAACGTGGTAATTACATTTACCAAAGAAGAATTACCGGTAATCCTCTCCAAAAACTCGAACCAAACACCTCCTGATAAATTTTCATTTTCATCTGCAACAAAAGTCAACAACAACCTCCGTCAATGTCATCACTCATCATACGTAACATTACAATTACTTCCTTCCCTTGTGGCAACGCCCACCATATCTTGTCATCAGGATTGAAGAGGACAAATTTTAAATTGGGTAGCGTTGCTCACAATTTTACCATAGTTAATGTTATTAGGGTTTGTCATTTCTCCTCACACGTATCCCCCGCAAATCCAAAATTTATATAATAAAAAATAAATTTACTAAAATATTTTTCATATGTCCTCCTAGAATCGATTTGTTAGCATGATATGTAATTACAATCACGTTGTTGGTTCAATTAAAACACGGATAAACTCTTCTTTTGAAAACCAACCTTGTTCGCTTTTTTCGTTTTAAACCACTCCGTATTTAAAATCAATCATATCATAATTATAATAATCACGTGAAATTGCAAAATAATTAATATTAAGGGAAGGATATTCTAACAACCAATTAGTGTCACTATCAATCAATTTCACTATTAGCTCGATTATGTTGATCTAACAGTTATATTTATTTCATTTTTGTATGGTTATGATTTCCCATATTTAATATTTAATATTTATTTTTATTTTTGTATGATTATGATTTTCCATATTTAATACTTTCACATTAAATGTAACTGTTAGATTAATATAATCGATCTAACGGTAAAATTAATTGATAATAACATTAATTGGTTGTTACAATATCCTACCCTTAATATTATTATGCTTAAGATCATTTACTATTCTTATTAGACCTAAACAAATGGTCCTTACTTATTAATTTTAATTTTTATTTTTATTTTTATTTTTTGAAATCAGCGGCTTAAGTTATTCATTTTTTATTCTTTGCAAATATTTCTTATCTTGTCCTAAGACAATCGAGGATTTCGACATATAAAAAATTATTTCAACATCAAGGTCCATCAATTATTTTTAAATCATATTATTTTAACGTAATACGGAGTACAATTTTTATATGCGTATGATAATGCAATATGCAATAAATGTTCCTGAAGATCGTAACATATGCAATAAATGTTTCACGTGATTTGTTTTTTAATTGTCAACCATTGCTAGATTTTTTCAAAGATGCAGACCGATGATGTATTCAAATATTTCATGTTTATTTTCATACTTATATGATCACTAAATTAAATTAACGGCTTGCATCTTGGGTAAATACTCTTGTATTATTGTATATTCAATTATTATTTTTTGGTACATTGTATTTTCAATTTAGGTATTGTGAATTTCTCAATCAATTTGTAATGATTTAGAAGAATTATTTAGTCTGATTATTTCAATAATTGAACATAAATAATAAGATAATAGTTATTAATATTGACTTACAATAACAGTTTTTTTTCTATAACTTCAATATCATTAAATTAAAATTAAATAGTATTAATAATAATATTATCAAAATGGGATAAATCAATAGGTTTAAGTTTGCAAAAAAATCCAGATTTTTTTTGGATAACTAAAAAAATCCAGATTTAACTGCTTTTTTTTTATAATAATCTTATAATTATTGACTAGCAAATTGCTTGTCACGCATAGGTTAATTTACATTTTTTTTATTAAGATAGAAATATGAATAATAGTAACTGCGTGCATTGTGAGTGTTCTTATTTTTTAGTTGCTTAACAAAAACCATTGCGAGAATGGACAATAGAGCCAGCAAGGGTGCTGCTCTTCTTCTCATCATCAAATTATGCATGCTAGAGGAGGAGAAAATCTGAATCACAGTGTAGCGGAGCTACAGGTAAAGAGAATTGCAGAAGAGAAATGAGAAATAAAAGAAAATAAGAGCTTTAGAAATGGATTTTATTTACGAAATGGTGTATGTAGGGAATAAAGTGGATCAATAAGATGGTAATACTCTGTAACAGAAGTGCTATGCAACAGAACGCTTTTTGGTAATACACTTTCTGTAGCACACCCTTATAATTATCCTTTATTTGTTCACTGAATTACTATCTGCTTTGGTATTCTGGTAGTAATATGATATGCCATTGTGTTCGGAGTTGAATTGCTTGTTATTAGTATGATAGTATCCCTGCTTATGAGTTATACTTGTCATTTATTGATTAAAAAATCATAATTGAATTATTAGATTTTTTTTTTATGTTTATGATATGTCTGTGATCGGTTGACATAGTATAACTTGAATGTAAATTTTCTAGACAATAATGTGCTTATTTACTGTAATTTCAATTTTGAGGTCTTGTTCAGTGAGCAATTTGAGGTTAACTTTGACTCCTCTGTTTTTTATTTTTTTATTTAATTTTTCAGTGAGTGCAAAACAGTGAGCAAAAATAGTACTAGAAACATAAAGAAGAAAGTTTAAAGTAATTTAATTATTCGATTTTTTTGTTTGTTTATGAGATAGGGACAGATCCTATCTCATATATATATATATATAAAGAAATTATTATTTAAAAACATATATATAAAAAACCAAATTTATCTTATTAATTATCATGAAATCGGTGGTGAATCACACTAACGTGGCAGTCTGGCAGATATATTTAGGTAACAGAAATAAATAGTTACTCTAAAATAAAAAACTAAATCAATAATAATAACCATTAAATTTTTTTAAAAAAATAAAAAATAATTTTGAATTTGAAAAATTTTATTAAAAAAATTAAATCAACTCATAATTTTATCACATTCATAAACGCAATCAAACAAATTCATGGGAATTACTTACATATTTATATTTCTTTAAAAATACTAATCCTGATACAGTGAGTTGTCATTAATTTATTCATATTTAATGATTTTCCGACATTTATAGGTAACTATTAATTAAGTACCACATCATAACAATTTTTCCAACAAGATAATCTGCTGTCTTTAGCTTTGGCTTGTCTGGTTTTGTTTATTCTCGTGGGCAACGAAAGAAAACGCGTTTCTGCATTCGCCAACGAAACAATTACGCTAACTATATCCCAAAATAAGCGTTATGTTTCTGTTTCTGGGTTTCCGAATCGCACCCATTTTCCATTCTCAAATTTTCTCGTGTTTCGCTTTGAATCGATAAGTTAACAAAAAGCATAAGATTGAGATTGGGGCAAAAAATGTTATTCAAGTGTTTGGGAGCTCAAAGGGCAAGAAGATTCCAGAGAGCTCTCAGCCATTGCAAGGTTACCATCCTCTGCCTCGTCCTCACCATTGTTGTCCTGCGCGGCACCATCGGCGCCGGCAAGTTCGGCACGCCGGAGCAGGATCTCATCGACATTCGCAACCACTTCCACTCACGCAAGCTACCCGAGCCTCATCGCATTCTTGGTGAGCTTCATTCTACGACGTCGTCTTCGTCTTCGTCTTCCTCTTCCTCTTCCTCTGGTTCTGATAGTTCCACTTCCACCACCAATTACAACGCCTTCGATATCAACACCATATTGGTCGATGAAGAAGAAGAAGAAGGGGACAACGAGAAACGCAACCAAGATGAGCCTTATCGTCTCGGACCTAAAATCTCGAATTGGAATGAACAGAGATCGAGGTGGCTTCGTGAAAACCCCAATTACTCGAATTTCATTCGACCCAACAAGCCTAGGGTGCTTCTGGTAACTGGGTCGTCGCCGAAACCGTGTGAGAACCCCGTTGGTGATCATTACTTGTTGAAGTCTATAAAGAACAAGATTGATTATTGTCGGTTGCATGGTATTGAGGTGTTTTACAACATGGCCCTCCTCGATGCTGAAATGGCAGGGTTCTGGGCCAAGCTTCCTTTGATTCGGAAGCTTCTTTTGTCACACCCGGAGGTGGAATTCTTGTGGTGGATGGATAGTGATGCCATGTTCACGGACATGGCATTTGAAGTGCCGTGGGAGAAGTATAAAGACTATAATTTGGTGATGCACGGTTGGAACGAGATGGTCTATGAGCAGAAGAATTGGATTGGGTTGAATACTGGTAGCTTTTTGTTGAGGAACTGTCAGTGGTCGTTGGATATTCTTGATGCCTGGGCGCCAATGGGGCCAAAAGGGAAAGTTAGGGATGATGCTGGAAAAATTCTCACCCGTGAACTCAAGGATAGGCCGGTTTTTGAAGCCGATGATCAATCAGCGATGGTTTATTTACTGGCAAAAGAGAGGGACAAGTGGGGTGATAAGGTTTATCTTGAGAATGCTTATTACTTGCATGGTTACTGGGGTATTTTGGTTGATAGATATGAGGAGATGATTGAGAATCACCATCCTGGTCTTGGTGACCATCGCTGGCCCTTGGTGACTCATTTTGTTGGTTGCAAGCCTTGTGGGAAGTTTGGGGATTACCCAGTTGCTCTATGCTTGAAGCAGATGGACAGAGCTTTCAATTTTGGAGATAACCAGGTACTGCAGATTTATGGGTTCACACACAAGTCATTGGCTAGTAGGAGTGTTAAGAGAATACGAAATGAGACTAGCAACCCTCTTGATGTCAACGATGAACTTGGCTTGCTTCATCCTGCATTTAAAGCAGTCTGAAACAGGAAAGTAGGATATATAAGGTATATTGTGAGAAACAGGAAAGCAGGCTATATAATATATTTTTGGTTTAATATTATTCTGTAAAGGTAATAGGAAACAGGCTTTTTGCAATTATGCCAGGGTAACGCTGGGTACAGGGATTTCCTCCACCCACACTCACTAGTCGGGTTTAACAAGGATTTCCTCCACCCCACACTCAGTAGTCGGGTATAACGGGAAGTGGTTTTTATTGTTCTATAGCTTCTCTCTCTTTCTCTCTGTATATAGCTTCTCAACTTAAAGTTTGTAAATTATTCCTTCCATGGATTGTAACACAAATTTGTATGAAGTAATGGAAAAAGTTGCATGTGGCTTTGCTATAATCACTATTGTTGGCTATGGTTCATTGTAACTTTTATCTTGGTTTCTGTTTGTAGTTATGAAATTACAATATCCTCGGACCATCTGCTGATCTCAACCTTTGAATTTTATATTATACTATATTCCAAGCATTCTGGATTTCTGGAAGTAGTTTTTAACAAAAATGTTCGAGCCAAATTTTGTGGAATATTATAATAGGTGGATTTAAATATCAAAACAAACTTTGGTAAGGATGATAATGGTGGCTGTTTTACTTTGTACAGTAGTTCTTGATTATCTGTTCGTGTCCATGTTACATATCAGCATGCAATGACATAGAAAGTTGGTATCAGCTCGTAGTCCTGCGTATAGTCCACTCGTTCAGGCATAGAATTTCAATCTATCTTGTTTGAAAATTCTGTCTAATAAAATTTTCTCTCATGACAACTGAGCTGCAATTTGATATGATCTCTGAAGAAAATCGGATGGTCAGGACATATCTTTTAAAAATAAATAATAAAGGAAATTGACATCTACACAAAATATAAGGACAAAGGAAAAGTTGAGATCGTCACTGGACTCACTACCCATGCACGTTTATAGATGCGATTGAAGATAAACTCTAGATAGGGAAGCAGAAAAAACCATCTTTTGTCAGCAGTGTAACTGTTTTCTGTTTGTATCTGAATTTTTGTGGTTGATGCTGAAACTGTAACTGAAAGGCGTTGTTACTATTTTCTGTCAAGTTGATCTCAGTAGGGATATATTGTGCTTTATTAACATCATATGCTCTTTCTATAAGTGATAATGATCTATTTTTAATATTTTATAACATCTAATTATGAAAAGAGAGTGGTATCATTTATTTGTGAAGTTAATATATCATAGTATCACACGCATAGCTTAGAAGCTAACCAGATTCGTACATCAAGTACAAGTATGTTGTTATTTTCATTCTATACTCACTGTGACCATGAGAATGCACATTACTATGTCATGTTTTTGCATTGTGGAAACTGTCTCAAAAGATATTGGCAGTTGCCTTATTGTTTGAAAGACCAATTCACAAATCTCAATGCGGAGACTGGGCATTACCTACAAAACAAGGAAAGTGGGTATTTAAGCATAGCATGTGAAGATGTTGAGTTTCCCGGAAAATGTTCCACATTATCATTTCTTTATTTTTATTAGTATTAGTATTTATCTGGTGGGGTCACTGAGTCAGGAGGTTATGTTTTAACCCCGTGCTAAGTCAGAAATCAGGTCCTACTGGTCAATCAACCTTCGATACCAAACTGCAAAATTGTTGCTTCCTTGGTTTTCCGTTAAAAATAACACACCTTGCACCTCTGCTTCCTCTCTTGAAGTCCTTGATCAAATCTCATGATCTTCCAGTGTCTCTCTTTGCGGTTCTCAGTTCTTATTTGCATTTCCTATGGTTTTATTTTTCCTACTGGATCAAACCCCAATGTTCAAGTGGCTGTGGTATGCGTAGTTGAAGGTGCTACCTATGTCTATGCATAGTTATGTACTATAAATAAAGCAATCTTTAGTTTGACTTTAGGTTGCTTCGTGTTGATGACTTAATTGTCTTCCTATATCACTTGAAAGCATGAAATCTTCCTATGAAGAACTGGTTCAGCAAGTCAGCACTATGCAGATAGTTGCAAGACTATCAACGAATTAGCAAATCTTCCCATTTATTTACCTCCCTCCATTTTAATGATGGGAGGGAGGGAGGGAGGGAGCGAGAGTGAGAGTTCACAGGTTGCGTTGGACATTCACATAAATCTGTGCGCGCTAGTTTTGTATGTATCTTTTCCATTTTTTTCAAAAGCAGAAAAGGGCAGGTCTCTAGTGACAAATAAACAACACTGCTTGTAAAATTTAAGATACTTCAATAATATTTGGAGAAAAAAAAAGTACAAAGTATCTCACCCAATAAAAGAAAACAGAGTACAAAATACATGGAAAATATTATTTACATACATACACCACGTGTGTCTAATATGTGATTAAGGTGACTGTTTACATAGCATTTCTACATAGTTTCCCTCCAACTACACCACAAGATTGGTACGCTATGGGTTTCAGACAAAAAGGAGCTTAAGATTTACAATAAAGAGAAAAGCACTCCATGCCAAACAAGGCTTTATCAAATCACCAGCGATGGAATTCACGCGCCCAAAGACACGCATGCATCCAAGTTGAGCACCAAACCATCCTAAGCACACCATTAATCCGAACCTTGTTGCCCCTGCCCCAAATACAATTGGATCCCATAGCAGAGTGAAGAGGAGCTGAGCCAAGTACACCAATAAAGCCGTGGGGTTTCTATGGAACCCCCCATCTGCCCACACCATCCAAGCCGATAGACCCATCAAGAAGCTAGAAGCCAGGCACGTGAGGTGAAGGGCCCACGAGGGTGGGAACCAGAACGGCTTTCTCCAAGTTACAGCATCATGGACACGTGACTGGTTGTTCATGGAGGAGCCTAGGTAAACGGATAAAACGGTAAGGGAGAGAGGGAGTGAAACAGCTATGGCGAGTGACCTGAGGCCGCGTTTAGCCATAACCATTCGCTTGTCCCGTTTGCTTACTCCGCTCTTCCTCTTGTCGTTCGTAGTGGTGGTGGAGGCAGTGGTGTGTGGATCGAGTGTGACTCGTTGTTTGAGGTCATTGGAAGCCATTATTGCGAAAGACTTTGAAAGTGAGAAGCAAGAGAGAGAGAAAGAAATATGGAAGAGAAAGTGAGTGTTGGGGAGGAAGCGGAGGAATTTCGTTTTCGTTTTAAAGGGGAGAGCGTGGATTTCTCTCGTCAACCATGTTTGGTTTGGGGAAAGTAATTAAGTGACACATGGATGGATATCATGAAGCTGATAAAGAGCATTCACCCCGAAGCATTACACGTGTGCAAGAGACAGAACTGGACAGTGACACAGGCGCACGTAGATAGGAATAGGATTAATTCGTTTTTGTCTACTGTCTGCTGATGTTGATTGTGGTTGAAATGAAGGCGTGGAAGCTGGTCGAAACTGCACGTGGCCAGTGGTTTCTAGCTATCAGATACCATGGCCGACTTCGGAAAATTTTTTAGTGCCCCGCGTCACATGCTCCTTTCATTGTATAAGTGATATTTATATAAATATTTTTTCGATTTATTCTTTATTATTTTAAATGATATAAGTAGAGAGATAGACGCAGACAATGGAAATCATGAGAAAGAGAAAGTATGCGCTTTTTTTAAGTTAAAATTTAAATAAAAACTGTTTTTCTATGTCTATCTCTCTCTTAAAAAGACAGAGTGTTATGTCATTTAAAATAACAAACAATTTTCCCATATTTTTTTTACTAAGGGGGCGTTTGGTTGAATGCTTTTTGAGATTTTCCTAGGTAAATGAAGTTTGGTTTTTAGAAAATCAATGTTTGGTTCAACGGGTTTTGACCAAAATCCATCTATGTGAAATGCCTGGCTTTTTGAGAAAGATAATAATTTGCACGGTTTAGAAACCTGATATGAGGGTGGTTTTTTGAGAAAACTCGGGTAAAGCACTGTTGACACACTTTTTGTCATATATTTTCCTGGTAAAATTTTGTCAAACCAAACTACTTTTTTTTAACTTCCCCATCTATTCAACTTTCTTTATGGATACCTAATAATTACATTTCTCTAATATTCTTAAAATTTATCTTCAACCAAGTGCCGCCGAATAATTATCACATTTTTTTGGTTTGGAGGCTTTGACATCCATTTATAATGGCCCATTCGATGTATGTACATCCATTTACAATGGCCCATTCGGTTGAAGCCCAAAAACGAAAAATAAAGTCAGCGAGGAGTTTTAACTTAGGAGATGGTGTATGTTCATCCATTAGACTGTTGATGGTGAAATGGAAATCGGAGGCAGAAGATTGAAAAGTAGAGAAACGATGGCTGTTCAGTCCGTGACGCAGTCGGCACCTCCTCCGAGATCAAATCCAACCAACACTTTTATCGAAAACCCCAAAATACCCTTCGGAGTTGCTCTGTTATTTGCCGATGCCGTCCTCGTCTTTCTCATAATTGCATTTGTCCCTTGTAAGTTTGATATTGATATCATCTCCTTCAATTCAATGCATATGCAGTGCTTCACTCCTTTCTGACGTGATGTCATGTGTTGTGTGTGTGTCTGTGTGTGTTTAATTTCAGATACAAAGATAGATTGGGACGCTTACATGTCACAGGTTATCGGGTTTCTCAGAGGAGAGAGAGATTACCGGAACCTGAAGGGTGACACTGGCCCTCTTGTCTACCCTGCTGGTTTTCTATACATTTACTCTGCATTCTACTACCTTACTGGTGGACAAGTTTACCCTGCTCAGGTCAGGATTGTATTTTCGTTCATTTCTCATTGCCTTGCTGATACATTGTTCTATTTCTAATTCAACTATATACAAGGGATGCTTTACTCAAGTACTTGATGGCTTGTTATGTTTTTCTCTTTTCCCATTGCAGATTTTGTTTGGAGTGTTGTATGTCATTAATCTGGCAATCATTCTCTTCATTTATGTGAAGACTGATGTGGTAAGGAAACCTCAGTAATGCTGAATCGTTGAATTTTCTTCCCCTTGAATTTCTATGCCAATTCTAGTATCTGTTACTCGTTTTCTCCCAGCCCTTATTGGTTTTCTTCTTATTTGTTTTGTTGATGTTAATTCTCGTTGTTCTTGAAAATGTCTAACAGCTTCCATGGTGGGCCCTTTGCTTGCTTTCTCTGTCAAAAAGAGTACATTCTATCTTCGTGCTTCGACTCTTTAATGATTGTGTGGCGATGACACTTTTTCATGCTGCATTACTCTTACTCATGCATCGAAGATGGAATCTAGGTTTGATTATGTTTAGGTAACGGCTCTCTTCCTAAACTCATCTTTCTATCGGGTTAGAATGTTTACTTGGCTTTTCATAATTATTTGTTAGTGGGGCTGTTTCGGTAAAGATGAATGTGCTTCTTTATGCTCCACCTTTACTGCTCCTCATGCTGAAGGTACATAAAATATTTACAGTCGAGTATGTTGCATTTATGGTCTCTTGAGTGAGTCTTGGCAATCACCACAACATTGCTCATGTAGCCTCCTTTTCTTCTCACACATGCAGGCTATGGATATCGGTGGCGTCTTATTGGCTTTAGCTGGTGCAGCACTTGTTCAGGTTCTTTGCTTTTCTTTGTCTCCTTTTGTATATTTGTGATGTTGTAAGTGCAAAAATGTTATGTGGCATTAGGTTTTGTTTCTCTACTCTGCTTGGTGTTGTTATTTTCCTCGTACAAAATGCTTTACAGAGTGAACAAATCTTTCGATGCCCGATGGTTGGTGTATTTTTTTCTTAAATATTCTTTCCACATTGTCAGGTGAGTTTCGTTTGGGCTTCAAGATTGATTGGTTCTCAAGAGTGAGCAATGTCCAATTTTGGTGGCATTCATTAAATCCTATATGGTGAACTACTGCTACAGATATTAGTGGGGCTTCCTTTCCTGATTTCACATCCAGTTGCGTACATATCGAGGGCCTTTGATCTTGGCCGTGTCTTCATCCATTTCTGGTACTTGCTTCTGAATTTGTATTTTGATGTATGAACTCTGCAAACAAATTTAGCATTTAAATATAATCCGAAAGCCATTTTTCTTTGGTCAAATGATGATGAAAGGGAGAAGGGAAATAACTCAAATAAGGGTATGTAAAGTTTAATTTTATGCGAGGATCATCTGCAACCTTCTGGCAGTAAGGAAATTATTTAGATAGGTGCCTCCAAATGCTATTCATAAGCTTATGACTCATGCCTAAAATATATTTGGTGTCTAAAATATAATTCACATATATTAAATTGAGAAATATAGTGATATTTTCTTTTTCTCTTGGTTTTTTATCTTGCTGTATCGATGTATATCTATACTTTAGTTCTCTTCATGTGAAAGCGCCAATATGAATAAATTTCTTTATTTGTATATGATTTTTCTTTATTGGTTAATGGGTTCACAAAATAAAAATACAAAGTTTAAAATCTTGCACTAAACCCTCTAATGTTTGTATCTAGGTGAAAAATATTAGTTCCTCCATTTTGTGGATGGAAATCCTCTTCACATGCATCTTGTCATTCTCATGTGGCCCACCTCATCTCTTCTCTGTTCATTTCCTTCCCACTGTTTCAAGGCTAAAAAACACTACTCTGTTGTGAAAACCCTGGTTGGAAGCTCATTTACTAGGGCATTAAGAAGAGGGAAAGTGGATCTAAGAATCCTGTTATTGGCAAAGAGGATTGAAGGGATTCCACACTCGAAGAATATAAGAGATCAAGGTTAGCTAGAAAGCAGAGGACTGTTAATGGTGTGCACATGGCTGAGTTTGTCTCGAGGTACTGTTAGATGGGGAATAATTTGAGCCTTCTTGTTTGAAGAGAAAAATAATGTGAAAAGGGTTTTGAAGAGCCCCTACGGACCAATTCCTTTTCTTTAATCAATTGTAAATGGTGGCAAAATTTTTACTAATAAATACCTAACTGCTTGTCGTGGATTGAAGGGGGGTGAATTTTGATGCTGGGATGGCAATTTAGAACTGGATTATGATGAATGGGGAATTAAGAGGGTTTGTGTGGTTTTCCAGTCAATGGTCATGTATTGCACACGTTACCTATACTGTTTAACTTAATTTAGATGCAAACAGTTTCACTTCAGTCCAAACATCAAAGGGGTTTGGTGTAGGATCTTGAAGTTGGTGTATTGAATTTGTGTTATCCTTAAGCTTAATGGGATAAAGTGTATTTTACCCTTTTTTTAATAGGTTCACTTAGGTCGTTCCTGATATATATTTCAATTGTATGTTATCAGGTCTGTTAACTTCAAATTCATCCCTGAACGTTCCTGATATATATTTCAATTGTATGTTATCAGGTCTGTTAACTTCAAATTCGTCGCTGAACCAGTGTTTGTATCGAAGGGATTTGCAATCTTTTTGTTGGCTGCTCACCTCATATCACTTGCTTCATTTGCACATTATAGATGGTGCAAGTAGGTATAAAAGTTTTATTTTATTTTTTTCTATCTAGGTCATTGTAAATTTTTTGGCTAAAATGCAAGGAACCCACTCTCAACTATAGATCAATTGCTGAAAACCCCAACTAACAATTTGACTTCTTGAACTTACCAAACAGTGCATATTGACTCCCTAGGGGGGCTTTCTCCACGTGCATGAGGGGTTAAATTTACAGTTTTGCTCTACATTTCACAATTTGCAAGTTCGGGTTGTTGAGTTACTGACTTTTGAATTCCATGGGGATTTCTGCAATTGACCTATAGTAGGAGGGGGTTATGTGCATTTTGGCCAAAAATATTCTTAAGTATTCTTGTCAAGTTATAGATTTGATAAGATCTTTATCTTCTGTTTTGACGCAATAAATAATGTGAACCAGCAATGCTTTATGGTACTGAATGTTGGGCAGTAGCCAACAAGAGCATAAACTAAGTGTTGTAGAGATAAGAATGTTGTGATAGATGAGTGGACATGCAAGAATATATAAGATTAGGAAATAAATGTATTAGAGAGAAAGTAGGAGAGGCTTCTATTGAGGAAAATATGATTAGAATTGCATCTAAGATTGTTTGACCATTTGAGAAGAAGATCAATAGAAGTCCCAGTGAGAAGATTCGATCAGATGGAAGATAACCCAATAGTTAGAGGTATAAGAAAGTCAAGATAAACTTTAGTGAAACTATTAAAAATGATTTAGATCTGAATGGCTTCACCCAAGACCGGGTATTTGACAAAACACAATGGTGTTGTTTGCACGATGTAGCTGACCCCACCAGTGGAAAATGGCTATTGTTGTTGTTGCTGTATGTCTAATGTTTTAACATAGATTCTATCATAATTGGGATATATAGGATTCTGGTGTACATGGATTGGAATTTTGATACAGCTGGATTATATATGTTTACTTATTTAGTTGCTTACAGACATGAAGGACGGCTTCTCAACTTTCTGCATTCCAGATATCTCTCTATGAGGCTGAGGTTTGCGCTTTACTTCTCCTCTTCTAAGACGTTTAACAAGAGCAGTTCATCATCCATCAAGATCCTTACTAAAGAACGTAAGTAATTAGCCTCATGTAGGATTTAAGAGATAGAACATTACTTCCAGTTTTCGTGATAGTAATACTAAATCTTTCCTTTACTCAGATATTGTGACAACTATGTTTGTTGGAAACTTCATTGGAATTGTATGTGCTCGGTCGTTGCATTATCAGTTCTATTCATGGTGAGTCTGCTTGGAATGACCTTTGTCAACTGTTAATGATAATACTGTTAGCTTTAGATGCAAAACTAACTTGGTTTAATTTTAATTATATACATAATTGTAAAAATGAAAAGGAAAAATAAGAATAAAACAGCCTCTTGTGACAAAATTGACTGGGTTTAATACATTGTAATAAGCAGGTGGAACATTCTAAGGCCCAGCCTGAATGCACCATGACCTATGGTGAAAACATTCTTCATAGAAATAATTTGCAGTCAGTAAATTCCATCAACAAGATGATTGCATATATTTGGCTATAACTTTTTTTTGGTGAATAGAAATTGGCTTTGGATGTAATTTTATCAACCAGCCTTGCCTCTCACAGTTTCCATTTATACTGGTATTTCAGTTAGTGTTGTCCTTCTTCCTGCAGATGTGTCATTTAGAACCAACTTTTCCCGTTGATGGTCACTTACTAATTCTCGTATAGACCAGATCATATGTTCTCAGAAAGTATTTTACTTTCTTTATGCTGAGCCTTCTGGAACTAGTTCTGTTAGACAGATATTATGCACATAATAACACAGTTGTTAACAAGTGCAATGATGCTAACTCTTACAATTTGGCTTATGGTACAGGTACTTCTATAGTTTGCCTTACTTGTTATGGAGAACGCGTTACCCAACATTGCTGCGGTAGGTCAACCCACATCCTTTCCTTTTCTTTAATTTTTTATGATTTTATCTTCTATTGAATTCATAATTGATCCATTTATCTATATGATCAAGCAGTTTGATTTTGTTCGTGGGAGTAGAGCTATGCTGGAATATCTATCCTTCAAACAGCCTTTCATCAGCGCTACTCCTCTGCCTTCACTTAATTATTCTTTGGGGTTTGTGGTCTGCTCCCCCTGAGTATCCTTACGAAGAAAATAAACCACGCTCTCACAAAGATAAATAGAAGTTTAAAGGCTCATCACCCTCTATTTTCTGGAGGAAAAGGGATGACTTAGACAAATGATTTATCCCTTATCACTTCTTTCCCCGTTGATGTAAATGTTTGTGATGTATCTTGGAGAAAGCCTCAGGATTACTAACTTGGATGTAAAACAGAACATAGGAGCAACAATCGATTTCGGTGCCCACGTTTTGATAAGGTTTATGTTTTATTTTCAATTCCATTGATAACTCTGAAACTTTTGCATTTGGGGGAAAAGTGTTTGTCTTTTTAAATGATACAACTTATATCCTTTCACTCTCATAAAGAGGTGAGATTTACATCTTTATATTTTTTTGTCCACTCTCTCTCCTCTTTTATCTATCTCTTTCTCTCACTTAAAATGACACAACTTTACATCATTTAAAATGATACACATTTTTCCCTGATTAAGTTTTAAGTGCTGAATAGGAAATTGTTGACATTATATTGAGGGGGGGGGGGGGTTTGATATTTGACGATATAAATGAGAAAAAGAAAAAAATTTAGCGCTATAAATCTCAAGCTACCAAACAAACATCACTGAATTAGTTTAAGTGCCTCTTATTTATTTTATTATTATTTTTTCTTTTTCTTTTTTCATGTGACTCGTGATGAAGTAGCCAAGTAGGGGTGTTCATCAATCGAATCAAACCAATTTAAATCGCGGTGATTGAACTGAAAAATCAAAAATCGAATAAACCGAAAAATTGAGAACTGACAAAAAAAATTGCAAATTTTAATTGCATTGGATCGGTTTTTGGATGAGTTGATGAAAATCGGTCCAATCCAAATCGATCCAATATATTAATTTTTCTCTACCTACTTGGATCTTTTTTCAATCATAGTCCAAAAATTTCTAAACACAAGACTCATTAACCTATCAACTAAATTTAAGAAAAAATCTAGTCACATCTTATCAACACAATTTCATCTGTGTAGAGCTTCATATCTCATTTCAAAAAAAAAAACAAATTATATTATTGTTTATGATACTTTTGTATTTTAAAAAAAATAATTCAAAGCTTATTATACAAAAGATGCTATTTGCACAATAACTATGAAATAAATTTTAAGATTTTCAAAAAATTGAAAATCGATCCAATCCAAACTGAAAAAAAATTGGATTGGATCGGATTTAAAAAAAATTCAAACCGAATGGATGATTACATAATTAAACCGAAAGAATTGGATCAGATAATTTTTACTTTCAAAACTAATCCAATTCAGACCGCGAACACCCGTATGATGAAGTCCTTTCAAATGTGTGATTTCTCAGTTAAGAGCAACCTTTCGTGTGTGGTTATTTATAAAAACCATGCATTTGATAAGTGACAATTTTCCTTTTTCTTACGATATACTAATAGGAAGCCTTATTTTTTACTACCTTTGATCCTCCCCTAGTCTCGTGTAAGCCACGTGACATAATAAACTTCACTTAAAAGTGGAGTGAAATGGCATAATAAAATCGATGCTATGAGATGTGCTATTCAAATTTGAATATGCATAAAATTATTTGAACGGAATGCCGCTCAAACACTCTCTTCAACTTTGCCGTTTTAAAATGACTAAAATGCCCATGATATTTTATTTAAAATTTGAAATATTTTAAAAAAGCAGCTCCAGTATTTATAAAGAATGCGTATAAGCTAATATGAAAAAGAGAATAGTAAAATAAAATAAAGCTAAGGCTTTGATCAGTTTGATGTCTAGGTAAAATATAATAAGCATTAGCCTAAAATGAGAGAAAAATTAAAAATTCTTTGGTTTTAATATTTTTATTTTTTTCAAAAAAGGGAGTGTTAGTTTTGTAATTCCACCTGTAACCCACGGGGCTAGGCATGGTTCGCATGAATACATCTTTGGGCACGATTCAATGGATGAGTCTCGTCGAGTCCTTTGCTTGGTAGCATTTTAGGCTTTGAAACTTGTTGAAGGAGTTCCAGTTGCTGCGTCGAACACATACATCATGGTTTGGCTCTCTCTTTCTGATTTCCCTTTCTTTTTTTCTTTTTAATTATTATTCTATCTTCTTCGTTGTGTGGCTTTATCCGTGCTAATGCGTTCTCATACATGAATCTCAATTTGAATATTTAAGCGATTAGGGTTTCCCAAATCCAATGCCAAATCGGGTCCAAATATGCCTGTTAAGCCTCGTAGATATGTCTATGCTCAATATTTTAGAGTGTCAGTAATTTATTCAGTTTCAATTTTGAGTGATTAGGGATCTTCAGCTGTATGAATATATTCGAGCCTATTTCATTTCATTGCATGGTGATATGTCATTTGAGTTTCATTTCATTTGTTAAGTTTTGGTTTATCGTATGGTTCCTTTTTCATTCATAATCTTCTCTTTTTTATGACAGGACGGACATGATTCAGAAGACCCAAAGCAAAGCACTGCTGATATGACAGTTTTTGTAAGTTGTTAAGCATCTTAAAGAGTTAATGGTTTTGTTCTATGATTGCATTTTGCATGTGTTTATGTCAATATGCAAATTGGTGTACCTGATGGTTGTCCCAAAGTCTATGATGAGAGTGGGAGTATGCAAGTTGATGTACTTGCTGTTTACATTTGGGACAGGTTTTTAGTTAGATGATTTAATTGTTGCTCTTGTATTTCAATCAGTTTTGACCTTCGTCTGCCCCTTTTTTCTCTCTTCAGGTGCAAAATCTTCTTCAGCAGATGGTGAGTTGTATACTCTAGTCTCTTAGAACTGCATTGCTGAATTTCACTATATATTTTGCTGCTGCTGACATGAATTTTGTTTCCAGCAAAGTAGGTTCCAGACAATGTCTGACTCCATCGTTACAAGGAATATCCTTTTTACACTCTGAGTTCATAAAGTAAGCGAATTTTAAATATGAATTTGTTAAAGAAACTATTTTCAGAAAACGGTAATTTATAATAGTGATCTTTTTTCCAGAAATAAGATATGATCCAAAGAGGTCAGATGACTGGAGATCTAAAGTGGATTTCATATCGTTAACTTATATTCTTTAATAACATCTTTCAAGGAATTCATTTTGAGATTTTTTTGGGAATTAAATGGAACCTTCAAAGTTTGGTTATGTGGTGTTTAAATCGCTGCATTGTTTGTGTTTTGAAAACTTTTAGGTTGTTCTTTATAAACTGACGGGCAAGTCTGCAATACCCATACTATAAAATGCATATCAAAACTCAAACCAATAACATGATGGCATATATACACCGCAGCACAGGCTGTAAATATGCATAGCTGCTGCATCTTGAGCTTCTTATTCTTTGTTTTATAAACTCAATGCAAACCGCCTTTGCAGTTATGCCAATTTGTGACACATGACTTAATGCAATTTGTGCACGGTTGTGTATATGTGATATCATTTATATTGGTAGTGATGCTAATTCCATTGCGTGGGTATTGCTGATTTGCCCTTTGCTCGAATTGCTGATGTTTTTCTTGACGTCAATGCACTTGATGAGATGGGAAACCGTATAAATGATTTGGAGCAAAGCATCAATGAGCTAAGAGCAGAGGTAGGAGTGGAGGGCTCGCCATCACCTGTGGCTCCTGCTAAGCCAACGGAGGAAGAGTCGAACAAAGAAGAGGGTTCAGCTTAAGTAATGTTTCGTGTTCAACTACCTTTTTTTTTTTCTTGTATCGTGATACATCAGGATTTGTTACCAGTGGTTCAGAATTCAGATATTTGCCATGTACCTATATGACTATGAGTGCACTTTCTCCATAGGAGTTAAAACTGTCTTACTGTTCAAACGAAAGAAAAAAAAAACAGTACTGCTGACTAATTGTTTGACTTTCCAATTCGTGGTATGCTAGCCTGGTGTGCTATTTCTATTTGTGTAGTATATTTCCTTAGTTTATATTGCGATTACCTTGTCACCCTCCTGCCCCTTCTCTTTGCATGCCGTGGCTGTCTCGTCAATTTCAAATTGGACAAACTCCACGGGGCAATCCATGTCGCTAAATTTAGGGGCTGCTGTTCAGAAACCTATACACCCGATTTTATGCATTTTATTCCAATGTTATGAATCGTTGTTACTCGAATATATTTCTTAGAAAAAACAATGAATTTTTTGTGCGCTTTTCAATTTCACATCTACTACTCGCATGCTGGTACTGGTCATTCACCTTGCTTGTTAACACTTCTATAGGCTTCTATATAGCCCCATTTTATTCTGTTACTTTTCTGAGAAGTTCGACTCGCATCCCAAAGGGGACCAGTTCCAACACAGTGCCTGAAACAAAAATTGTCAAGCCAAAAACTGATTGTTCATTTCAGACTAAAGAAAAAGCCGAATATTATTATTATTTTTCTTTTGGCAAGTTATGGTCGTTGATTCTTGTTCGAATAACAATGATATATTAAATCTTGTTTATTTTCAAATTCTTGAAAGACGAGTTGAGCAACTATCATGTCTTAAACTACTATTATTTGCACATGAGCTTCAGTAAGTAGCTATTAAAGCAAGGTGAGTCCCAGATGATCGGTGTTGTAATTTCACATGGATTGACAAAGTTAACATAGACAATTCATTGGATTTGACTACTATTGACTTACAGTTCCCGATAATTGCCAAGCTGGTATATATACATAAAAAAAGGAGAGATTTTGAGATTTGCAAATCTGTATTTAAAGCTCAGCACCATCTGAATTGGCGATAAAACTCCTTTAACCGATTAAACTCCTTATAAAATTACGTTTAATTCTGAATTAAAAAATTATGTTAGACATTATTCATATTTCTATCCCTCCCATTTTGCGATGGAAAATTTAGTTTAGGTGGAAGCAGCAAATGAAAGAACATAAATATTTTACTAGAGCAACATCACTTAAAGATCAATTTACATAAAACACCGAAAAAGAAAAGGAAAACACCAATAAAAGTAAAACATAACAAGACAGATCATTATAACTAGAGAGCAGAGGAGTAAACAAATGGAGGGGTAGCTAGAAAGAAACTTGATATTGTTCTAAGTAGTACGGCAACGGGTGATGGTGGTGCAGCCACGGGTGTAAGGATTAGCATCAGCACCTGACTTGCAGTTGTAGTAGGATGCACCCCTCAGAGAACATGGCACTGTGTTTCGCTGCAGTGATTTGTAGCTTATATACTGTGAAGTTGCTAGGATGCGCCGGTGGGACTCTGACTCCATCCCAAGCTCACCATATGTTAAGCACTCTTCTATGGAGCCTTGGCAGGGTGTTGTTGTCATGGGCACCCAACGTAAGCGGTGGTCGCCTATTGCACCCGCTCTGGGGTGAAAGATGGACATGGCCACCATGGACAAGTACAAGGCCAGCAGAAAATAAGAGCTTGACATTGTTTTGTGGTGATGGTGGTAATGCTGCTCTTATTTATTCTTCTCTCGAGTTTCAAGTCTTCATTCTTTCTACTTCTACCATTTTATAGAAGAAACTTACTTGGGAGAGTGGGAATAGGTAAACAACTTGTTTAATAAGTATGTCAAGTTGTATAACAAGGAACTAATTTACATTATATTTATAAATTTTTGTTTAAATTTTTTTACAAATTACACTATGTCTGACCGGTAATACACTCTTGAGTAGAGTATAACCGATTAAACGTAATGTAGTTTGTAAAAAAAATTGTAAACGGATCCTTTTCCTTTACGAAAATATTGCTCTTTTATTTTTCGTAAGATAAAAAAACAATCGATATTCAATTCGTTTGGTTCTCTCAATTTTAGAATACTATGATCATCGATATCAACATCATATTCATCTCAAAAAAGGGAGAAAAAAAATTACTGTTATTGTTAATATTCTATTACTGGTAACAACAACGCTAATAATAATTAGTTATCAACAAATAACAAAAACCTCGGAGTAAAAAAAAAAAAAAAAAAACATAACAACCACAAATTAAGAAAATTGAAACTCAACAGGTAGACAGTTTATACTCTTGTAGTAATTTTCCCGTTCAAATGTGTTACAATTACTGAGAAGAAAGTTGGGTACATGATAAATAAAAGCATTTCAAAACCTACCAAGAAAATGACATGAAGAATGGGAGGGCATCGATGATACTAGGTTCGGATTCAAAGCATTAACTAGTTAAAAATTGCGCAGAAGTCTAATTCAACGTTGCGTTGTGTCTGAGCCGTCAAAATACTGATGCTGGGTTTGAATTCATGCTGCCCACGACAGACCACCTTCAGGAAGGAACCGCTTGTGCTTATCCAAGTCAAGTTTCTTCAGAATGAAAACTAACACAACACACATCAATACCAATATTATGGCTCGAATGTTCCACGCAGTTGCCATTAAATCTTAAAGACTAAATCACTCTCACTTCATTTTTAAATCATATGAGTGTAATCCCACGGGTCTAGCGATTCGGAGGTGTGCTCCTTACTTGTACAAAGAATTTCTAAACACTCCGAGCCAAACTGAGGGTCCATCCTTAGTGTTGCGGAGGGACTTAGGCTTTGCAAAAGCAGGTTATCTTAACTTTTATATAAGGAAAAATATTTTTCATTCACACACTCACTAAAGTGAGTGATTCCATCATGAAAAGAAGAATAAAAAAAAAAATGTTAACCTGACTTATTCATTTTCATGTGAGTGCTTATGGAGCAAAAATATTAAACATAAATGGTAAACGCATCGAGGGAAAGATTATACTTACAACATTTTTTTGTCTTATAATCTCTTACAAAATCAAATGGTTGATTTAATTTTTATCTAACGATAATATAAATATATTTTCTGCCACTCTCAAATAAAAAAAAGTGAGTCTAGTTGTGAAGAAAAAGTAGAGAAAAAATTAGTGAAACTCATCCTCTTTTATGTGAGTACTACAGAGAAAATATTCTTGTAATTAAAACTGAAAAATTAATCCCAAATATATAGAGAGATGCAGGATCTTTTGACTCTGATATAAAATCAAGAAATCTTACTCTTCATTTCAAGCGTTAATTTTCATCCCTCCGACGGTTGAAATTAATTAAAATTGATAATTAATTAACAAATATAACCCAATAAACTATAACTATTGGATAAATAAAAATCAACGACTGAAATGAAGAATAAGATTTCTTAATTATATATATATATATATATATATATATATATATATATATATATATATGAGACGAAAATTATTTTCTCATGTCGTGAGGCATTGAAATCTGATCTATCCTTCTTCTTTTTTAACAAGTGGTGGACCCCACCATTTATTGTGTCTATGACATAATAGATGCTATCTCGTGAGAAAAAAGAAGTCTATATATATATATATATATGAGGTAGGATCCTTTGACACTAGTGTCAAATTTCAAATTTAACACCTTATCTAAGAATCCTTAGATCAAAAAAGATCTGGGACTCTGATTTATAAACATGTGACACCATTGATATTTTTTAATCTAACGACTCTCAGATAAAATGTCAAATTTCAAATTTGATACTGGTGTTAAAAGATCCTACCTTTATATTTATATTTATATATATATATATATATATATATATATATATATATATATATATATATATATATATATGATTTTTTAATACTTAATCTGAGAGCTGTTAGATCAAGTCAAATCAATGATGTCAGATACTTCTAAATCAGATTCGTTAGATTAAGACAAAATTAATAACTCTCAAATGTCAAATGATCTTGTCCTGAGAGAGAGAATCCTTTAACATCGATATTAAATTTTAAAATTTAACATCAAATTCTAACTATTAATTTTCACTAATACATTTGAAAAGGTGTCATGCACTCTGAAAGTATCATTCTCGGTTCAGTAAAATTGTAACAGTGGGTTTGCATAATTATAAAGTTGTTGAATTAAATCAGAATTTTTTTTTAATAAATCTAAAATCAAACCTTAGCAGTTTAACTTTAAAAATGCGTGATTATAACCAAGTTTAACTGGCAGTATCAAAATTGAATTTAAGTAGGGTTAGATAAGCCCAGATACATTCACTTACCAATTTGTGTGGTAAAAAAATATACAACTTCGTTTAGACTTTTTATCAATGTTAATCTTCCTTCCTTTAAAAATTCTTCCATTCACTTGTCTGTAGTCTGTATTGATCGTGGAGGAATGGAAGTATAATGTTTACTTCTCATCTTTCTAGCTTGCTTAACAAATCTTCCATTGGCGGCAGCTCCTTCACAATTTGCTGCCAGTCACGCATACCCTGCAAACACAGTAGCATTTACTAGTGTTGTACTGATAAATGGCAGAGTATGCGAAACAGTATTGCAATCAAGGGAGGGGAAAAAAAAAATTCCCCTGAATCAAACTGCTTTGTTGATAGTTTATAGTTGAGAAGTAATGTTGAATGATAAAATCCCTTAATGCTAAAATAATGCAATTCCAGTAAGAAAATTTGAAGATTGCTGTGAAGGAGTCGAGTTGATGCTGAAGCCAACGCATTGAAGTCGGAGGGGGAGATTTGTTGGGTTTCCTCCTTCAATGTTAAGCCCAAGCCCATTGAGGGGTTTCCTAAAAACCCTAACCCTAGATCTCACATCCTCTATATATTCATTAGTTGTGGGTGGAGGCTAGGTTAAGAGAATGAGAGAGAAAATTTGAGAGATAATTATTTGATTGTTTGAGCAAAGCTTTATGCTTTGAATTTGAGAGATCTCTAGAGAGAGTTTGAGTGAAACATCTCTAGGGTAGTTTGATTATCACCATTGTTGGAGAGGTTGAGTTAACCACCACATTGGTGTATTCTGATTATTTTGTAACCATTATTTTCATAGTGAATTTTTGATCTGGACTAGGTCCCGTGAGTTTTTACTTACATAGGAGAAGGTTTTCCCACGTTAAAAATTGCTTGTGTTTTCTCTCTCTTCTTCTCCTCTCTCTCCTGTTTTTCGTTTTGATTTTTCCGCTGCGCTGCCCGACCTGGTGAAGTTCAGGCCGAGGTATTGCGAAGATTCGAGATCGAGGATCTCATTGACTGACTTCCGCTAAGGCCCTTGAGCCGAGCTTGAGGGAACCGAGTTCCCAACATGAAGGTGGTTCCATAAGCGTGTCTTTTATTAAGGCCTAAGACTCATATTTGGGCTCGATGAAGATAGTTCTACTAGCTCGAAAGAATGGAATCAGATATATGGAAAGGAAAAATGAGATATATTTTAGCTTCTAAAAAATGTAGAAAAAAATCAAAAATAAAATATATTTTTTAAATAATTTAAATAATTTTAAATTTTATAAAAAAAATACTTCTAAAATAAATAAAACGTAAAAAATATTTTTTTACAAACTCATCCAAATGTCCTTTAATAAGTGATGGTACTACTAGTAGTAGAGTACCGAAACTATTTTCCCTCGTTACATATCCCGAGCTCCTTTGGACATGATTGCTAACATGGTCCATTTAACATTTTTAAAATATGATAATTGAGTACTATCAATTTAGGATGCTTATTACGTATAATCTATGATAATCATAAACTTGAATTTAATCATTGATTAATTAATTTTATAAAGGATCTATTTCATCTTGTCATTAATTTATTTCCATTCATTTATGTGGGCCTATTTATCTTTCTATCTATTATATTATCTATATATCTATTTATTATTTCTTATATAATATAAAATTTTAGTTTAATCAGTAATTTCGAGTTCAAATTAGTTGTGTCAAAATTTTGATAAAGAGACTTTTGCTTCCATTATAATCCTTCCCAATTCGACCGGATTAGTTAATTAATCGATGAAATGGTGAAGAAATTTAAAAAAAATCATCGACTACTATATTATCATGACTCATTGACTATTTATACGTGATTATTTTTAAAAAATAAATATAAAAAATCAACAGCAAAAAAAGAGTTATAATTAATAAGAATTATTTTAAAAATAATAATAAATTTTAAAAAAGTACACAATTTATTATAAATATATGCACGAGTAATATGTCCAATAAACAATATTCTCTTACATTTTTACAAATTATGTTTTCTTTAATCTTAATTTTGGAAAATTTAATGATAAAAATATTCAAATGAATTCTCGTAAGACATCTCAACTAGTAGAAGTGTGGACGTCGAAAGTGCAAATTTCGTTTTCCAAAAAACCTAAAAAAAAAAGTACAAATTTCAAAGAGTAGAGGTATTCGTGGTCAGTATTGGATCGATTTTGGAAGCAAAAATCATCTGATCCAATTCCTTCGGTTTGATCATGTAATCATTCTTTCGGTTTGGATTTTTTTTAAATCACATCCAATTCATTCTAATTTTATTCGATTTGGATTGGGCCATGTTCTACCTGATGCAGAGATGTCCAACTCTAGGTTGGATGTTTGATATTGGATCTGGTGATTGCTCTCTAGA